TGGAAGTAGACAGTGAATTCCGCAGGGACCAGGAGGTTTTTGCCTCAACGATGTGCCAGACTTTGTCAATTTCATCCATTACCGCCGATGGGGCTATAATAGTATGCCACCACAAAAGACGGGCCTCTCCGGCAATTGATTGTGGTGGAATTCCACATGTGGTTGGGGAGGAGGGCACAGATTGCCTTGTGAACAACGAGGCCCGTGCACCTTCTCTGGGTACCCCTGAACCACTGAAGTAGGGTTGTCTAGACAGAAGGGAGAAGCCTGGGGATTTGGAGATTGCACAGACACAGACACAGAGGCATATGGAGATTGTGTAGCTGGAAGGTTAGGCGATGGATGGCTGCTAGAGATGCTGGGGTGAGTAGGGGGGTCAGAGACCGCTGAGGTGGACCCTAGTGCAGATAAGGGTGGTGATGGTAGTCTGTGCCTAGGAAGTGCCTATGCTCGGGTCGGAACCTTTCTTCCTTCTAGAGGGAACTGCACGGCAAACGTGGCAGGAGAACTGGGAGCGTTTAGCTGTGCGCTGGGTTAGACGGGCGCACTGGACATGAGACCAGAGCCCACACTGCAGACACTGCACTAACGGTTTACCCGTAGCACTACTAACCCCACAGACACATCGTACCTTCTCGTTCTCTCCGATGCAGAAGCGACTGAAGTGAGGAGGGGCTGCCCGAGATGATACAGGTGGGGGGGGAGTAGCACCTCAATGCGGGGGAGGTAGTGGAAACTGCAGTGGCGGATGTTCGTTTGGCGTAAGCGAGGAGGTGAGTAGTCGCCATAGAGCCACCGTCCGCGTCAAGGTTGAATTTTTGGTTATGCGCATGCGTGCAAGCTGTCCTTTGAACTCCTTCGTCGTTAACCGAAAGCGTCGCCTCGTCGTTTGCAGAAGTCTTGATTGACTTGTGAGGCTGCTAGCAGCCTGTAGCGAGAAATACACAGATTGAAAAGGTAATGATGGCTGCGTGTATTGTCTATAGGGATCCGCCTATAGGAGCTTTGCTAAATACAGCAGCGCACACTGACACCTGCCGTAGGTGTCGACAGCGCAGAGCATCCCGGTGCTCGAGCCGGCTAGTCTACTTACGTGCTAGGCCCGGGGTGGATACACCTGTCGTAGTCTAGAGGGTACCTGGACCCCGATCTATCAGAATACGTATACCCGAGGCTGCCGGCGAGGCCTTCGGGCAACGAGGCATCTGCCGAGCCTGGGAAAGGCATCGTTAGGCGTGGCATCGAGTAGTGGACCCGGCCACCTGTGCCATCAGCCACCGAGGCCGAGAACGTGGTACACCTGTCGTAGGTGTCGACAGCGCAGAGCATACCGGTGCTCGAGCTGGCTAGTCGGGGTGGATACACCTGCTGTAGGTGTCGACAGTGGAGAGCATCCCGGTGCTCGAGCCGGCTAGTCTACCTACGTGGTAGGTCCGTGGTGGATACACCTGCCGTAGGTGTCGACAGCCAAGAGCAACTCGGTGCACGAGCCGGCTTGTCTACGGGGTATATACCTGGACCCCGATTATCAGACCACTTACTCGAGGCTGCTGAGGATGCAGCTGATGAGGGAGGGACGCAGGCGGCTTCGCTCGTTGATGCCGAGTCTCCGGCCGCGGTTGTCGCTTGGGGAGCCATCAGTTGGTCTATGTAGCCGAATGGTGGCCTCGTCAGCTCCCGCGCCGTCAGAGGTGCCAGCGACTGTAGACATCACGCGAGAGTAGAGATACGAGGAGGGCCAGACGCAACGCTGAACGACGCGAAGAAAAAGCAACGGCACGAGAGCCCGATACTATGCCGATGGCTGGATCTGGTACCAATGGCGACCACGCGGTTGGTCATTAACCTTGGTTAATCTACCATTAACCGTCATGTAACAGACAGACAGACACACAGACCCAACTACCGTACCCTCGCTGCGCATGTGCGCCGAGGGTAATGAATGTTCGCAATTCTTAAACTGTGCAACATTTTGTTGCAGTAACTACCAGTGACCATAACTGAGCCGATCCCTATCATTAAGCAGCAGAGGATAATCAAGGAAGAGCTCACAGGACGTACCATTATATACCATTCCTTACATTCAACTAAAGCTGCATCAGTTGTAGCTCTAAATGGTTCATGCATACATGAAGACGGAGTGGACTTGGACAGATTGATACATGTACAATTCCGAAAAGTTTGCAGATTTAGCAATGCAACACGTCTGTGGACTACTTCATATACAAGACACAACTAAAGACACAACCACACAAATGAGACTGATTGCTTTGGTAAAAACCCTTTTACGGCCACTAGCAATAGGTACTGATGGTCTGTGGATATTGAACTAACAGAATTATTAGTGACGTTACATCACCGGTGTCGTACTGCTATGAATGCGTGCATAACAATTTGCACAATTATCATAATGATGTGCTTCATACATGAAATTTGCGATTTCATGTTCGTGCTATCACGGCATGCTTTGCTCATGAAATAATATTTCTCATGAGGGAGTTGCACTGAAAGTCAGTTCATACGAAATCATTGCTAAATTCATAGCAACTTTCATCAGTAATTTCATAACCTAAAACAACTCTTTCATGTGTTTTCCTCTATGTGAATGTACATAGCATAACAGCATGTTACTTACACTCATGATATTAATTTTCATGAGTGAATTAATGCCCCATCTGAAAGTTCGTGCCGATTTCCCTGGTAACATATCATATGCTGTGACTCAAGTGCATTTTATAACCTGACAAACTTCATGCAATTACTCCTGTAAATTGGTTGCATTCATCAAAATTCCAGATGACATGTTTTGTACACCTATTTTCACGATGGATTTCATGCACTGTTAATCATTTAATACCAATTTCATGGGTAAATTACCCAGTAGTGCTAGCATCTCTGTAGACATCGAGCTAGCCGGCCAATCTCTAACAACTCAACCGGCAGCAAATTGTTAGGGCTACTGGTGGCAGTCTACCTTCGCTCCTTCAAAGTCAATTAGAGAAAAAAATCTCCAATGCACGCAGAGTACTTTGCCATTTGTGCAATTGGGGCTTTCCAAGGCCTCCTCAATCAACTGTCAGGACGTAGCATTTTCTTGACCTCTGTGTACCCATTCTCCTCTATGGCTGTGAAAACTGTGGATAATCTCTCAAAGCCACTTCTTGTGAAGTTGAAGAAGTTTCAAGCTCAAATTGGCAGGCAGATACTGCATCCCCCCAAACACCATGTTGATCTAAGCGTACTACTGGGACTACATCGGCCTAGAATCAGAGTGCATATCTTCTTGAGGAAATTGACTTTCCTGGGAAACACCAGAGATGACCTAAGTTTTTGCACAGGATGTCTAGTCGAGCAGTGGCAGTTCCTAGAATCTGAGTTTCGAATATCTCTGAACAGTCTCACGTGGTTCTTGTCGATGCAAAGCACACTCTTGTTGAAAGAGACTGGAGCCTAGTCCTTGAGACTGCCACTACCACCACTACTCCTTAAAACATATCCGACAGAAAAATTGCCTCTACTTGGTGCAAAGTGTGGGACTTTGTCCTCGACCATGGTGTTAATGATGGCCCTCTTTAGAAACCATGACTGGTTAGTTGTTGCAACAGAATTATTTTGTGTCATTATCGTTTCGGAACATTTATGCGCTAGTCACTGTACCTTAGAGGAACAATAAGGCACAATGGATTGCGTGTATTGACTCCCACATGATCTATTAGTGTAGCTAGCCCGAGTCAGACTGCGACTTACTAGCATGGAGTCTCATAGCCCAGCCCATCAATTAGCGGTACTGCGCATGCGCAGTGTACCGAGGGTTTGCACTTTTAATTTCCAAAGGTAGAGGAGTCTGTGGTTCCATTATCAGAACTGTGGCTTCTTACTTCCGTGTGAATGAACTGCGCATGTGTGGTACGCTAATTGATGGACTCATGGTCTCCCGCTAGTATCTCGCTGAGAGACTGACACGGGATAGCTACAGTAGTAGATAGCATGCGTGTATGTCGACACAGGCACTTTGTTGGGACTTCTGTGCCTTCAAGATACCGCTTCTGTGCCTTCAAGATACACAGAGCAAGTGGACCCGGTCGAGGTAAGCCTGTGTTAATTAGCATATTGGCTTGTTCACTTGGTTTTCATGGCATAATTTAGAATGCAGTGCTTTTACGAAAATCACCATTTCTAAAATGAAGCCAGTGTAGCGCTGAACACGTTGGTGTCGCTTTTTGGCCATTTTTTTGCGCGTGGTGGCAGACAACGTGGTAACAGACACACACACAGACCAAGTACTGCAACCCTCGCTGCGCATGTGCGCCGAGGGTTAATAATGTTGTTTATTGTGACTTGCGTGGGCGGATCAAAGGTGCCGCGCATACTTTTATTTCCCGTAGTATGCGTTCAATACAAAAATTATTGAACTATCATCAGCATCGTACACATAGTGTAGACAAAAACTGTTCTGTAGAGGCTTTAGAGGTGAGGGATGACTGTTCTGTAGAGGCTGTAGAGGCGAGGGATGGCTGAGGCGACCACACCCCTTCATTCAGGCAAGCGAGACCGCGGCCGCGGCACACCGACCGGCCCAGCGACCTATGAAACGAGTTTCTCTGAGGGAGAAGAGCCACCATCACGACCTTGTTCGATTACAGTAGCCTCGAGAACAGAGAACTTGCTCGAGAAGCCAGCGAGTGTGCACATGAGCAAGGGTAGTAGGCTACGCAGTCGTATTTCTCTCGCTGGAGGTCGACGACTGCTACAAAGTCACAATAAAACACATAATGTGCGTCCTATTGTTCTATACATGACTTAGGTTGTGCTCTCGAGACCCATACAGCACTCGGCTGCACCTCGTGCTGTATGAGTCTCTCGACCACACCCTTTGTTCCCATAAATCACGTATATATAGAACTCTAAACGCACATTATCTCTTACGTATTATCTGAACCACTCTGCACCACTTGGTTAAGAGGGCCTAATATTACAGAAAACACTGTGTCTCTGCTTACTTCTGATTTTAGCAACAGCCTTTCTTCTCTGTTTGATGTACCTTTCAATATCAAAGGAGAGATCATAATTACAAAATATGAGATCTGTAAAAACCTTCAATCATAGGCAGAAGCAGCTCAAGAGCAGCCTGGTAGCACTCTAAAGCACGATCATACTCTCCTCTTGACTCGAGTTTGTCTGCATTTTGTGCTTTTATAAGAGCAGCCTTTACTGCCACATACTTTTTCTGCATCTCATCTGTTAAAAAACCAGCACATTAAACTATAGTAATAGAAGCTGTAGACAGTATATACAGTGCGAATATTATAGCGGAACCACTTTTGGAGTAAGTAAAGATAATCCGACATATCTGTGTGCCTTCCAAGACTGTGACTTTAGAGTATGCATATAAAATGAAGCAACCCTACCTACGTAGTGCCTGAATGCAAGAATTTTGTTCCAAGTTCAACTTTGCAACCCTTAGCGCAATGTCCTACGTCACTCTAAATACATGCCACAGGTACGTAATTAGTTGTTGCTGTGCGCATACCATTTTTCGCCAAAATGTGTTGCATTCATTCTTGGAATCGTGCCCATACATTTGAGACGTTTATGTTTCACTTTCAGTTTTAATCAGATCCCATTCAAGACACAAAAGTCTGATCCTATGGTCAAAATAAGCATTTACCTAAGAAAAGGCATACTCGGTGATTAATTTATTCAGTTTTCAAATTTCTTTTTTTTTTGTTGTTCAGTTTTTACAAGCGTATCTATAAAGACAAAGAGGAGGTAGGAGGGTGGAACAAAGCAACAACCCCCTCAACCAGATTAGTAGACTGGCAAAGCTATATACAGTAGTAATAACTGTCTCCAGTTTTGTAAAAAATAGTTATCAAAGCACTAGGTACAAACGCACAACGTTTGGCCTTCTCAGCCTTCTCATGTGTGTGATATACAAAATGGCAACAAGGGTTGATGCAGGCTGGCAACAGTAAAAAGGATGGACTGCTGTAGACAATGGGATGTTGAATGAGACAAATGAGAAAGGAGTGAGATGAATGCACATCAAGAACAAGGTAGAGAAAGGGTGCAGTGTTGACAGTTGGTGAATCCAAAAGCTCTCTTCCTTCTTACGTTGCTGGTTTTTGTTGCTCCTCAAGTACCATAATACGTGAGAGAGTGAGTGATTAGTGCTGCAGAAGTTAGCTGGTACTGGTTTATAAAGCATATCGCTACAGTGGCCATTCAGTCAGATATCAGTGGATTTTGAGTCTCCCCAACATACTGCATGTGGCATAACTGGCATTCGACCAAGTACATGACATTTTATGTCTTACATTTGGCAGTAACATGAACCAGAAATGTGGAGCCAGTCAAGTACCCTGAACAGTAGTCCCTGTTGTGATGTGCTTGCACGTTTGATTCCACAAGGAGTACAACCATGAGCTGCAAGGAGTTCTCATGGTGAGATCTCTGCATGTACTGAAGGTTCTTAGGCCTCCAATATGCAATAAGGGGCCTAACAAGAAACACTCCCTGCAACAGGGATGAGACATGTAGTACAGGTTGTAAGGATTTTTGTATTCACAGGAAGTTTGGGAAGATTGGAATGGAATGTGAGTACAACAGGTACACGAGTAGAACAGCTTCGTCTGGTTTGAGAAGCTAGGACAGTTTCCCTGTCAATAATATTCACACGGTTTCATTGTAGGTCCACAAATCAAAACCATGACGAAGTAGGTGACAGCATGGTTGATTTTTTGTTTAATGAAATCATCATTAGAAGAAGAAACCAACATAGGCGCAGAACTTTGCTGAATGGAATAGAAGCCTTGCTGTGGTAAGGATGGAAACTGTGTGCTGGGAGGTATTGGTGGGTGTGTCTCTCTTTGACGTGCAAGTCTGTTTGTAGTGACCCATTGCTCAGGAGTACACGAGAACATCAGACTCGTTGGACCATTCTGTTGTGAACATCCGCAACGAAGAGAAGAGATTTACTCTTGTTCAGGACAAGGCCTCGTGATGGACCTTGTGACTCAATTATGGTGAGAGCAGAAGCAATGTCGCTGAGAGAACCACACAGGGTACTATCATCGAGGTACCATGTGTTAATAAGCAGCTCTGGAACTGAACATCCCTCTTAATCTGCTCAACAATCAGGTGGAGAGTGACAGCAAAACATAAGGGACCCAGAGGGTCTCCTTGTTAAACTCCGCAGCAGCTGAAGAGCTTGTGGTCTTCTCCTAATCATGCTGTACTGCCCGAATTCCCATATCTAGTGATAGTTTTGAGCTCCTGGGCTCTCCTATTGGTCCCCCATCTTACTGTGAGTCTTCTGTCCTGAAGAGGGTCATATATGTAAGATCCAAGAGGCTCTGGTCAACCTGCGAGACCTCCATGGCTCACAGATGGAAGCAATTCTCTTGCGCTCGTGTCTCTCCCTGCCAAAAATTGCCGTTGCTCTGTGTACTTGTGCCCCAGACCTCATTCAACTGCTTTGGCAGCTTTCGGCAACACACTTGTAGAGAGGTCGTAGCAGGGTGTCCCTTACCTGACTGGTCATGGTGGAAGTCTTCCCTCTGAAGCAGCCAAGGAGGCTTTAGTCTGCTCCAGGCAACTCTACATGCTCCAGCTGCTTACATCAGCTTGCTGCATTGTTCCAAGTCCCTTTCGCACGGCCATTCTCCATCACCTCCTGTTCTTCCCTCCTGCGTCATGGCCCTAGGTATGGCAGCATTGATACCAGAACGGTATTCTTTTCAGAACATTGATGTACCTCTTCGTCAACGTTCTTTCTCCTGTTTTATCGACGAAGGCCACCTTTGCTTCTCTTTTGACGCCACCCCTGCCATTCATTTAAAGGCCTTGGCTCTCTCTTTGGCCTCCCACATGCCTGGGGATTGGCTAGATGTCATTCCTTCTCCTGCTCTTGGCCTTCATCTCCTGGACCAAGAAATTCGTCTCTGTCTTCAGTATTGGCTGGGCTCCCCATTTTTGCAGAGGGGGCAAGGTTCCCTGTCTGCCGGGGCGTCGCTGACCCCTTTGGAGGCTGTGGTGAAACGGGGATCGTATCCATTGTCAGAACTCTATCCGGGATGCAGTATTCTCAGCAGCATAGACAACTGCTTTAGCACCCCGGAAGTAGTTGCCATCTCTTGGCCCAATCTCGCCTGCGGACATTTCCTCCCTAATTGGGAAAGAGGACGTCCAACACTCGATGTCTGTCATTTCTACACTGCAACAGCTTACCTTGCGTGGTGCAGCCAGTGTCCAAGGGCACATATTGAGAGTAGGAGAAGACAGGAAAATGGTCCTACATGCTACCTCATGCCAGGCTGTGGGAGTGTTTTTGTCCCCCTCTTGGTCGAGTCTCTCTAGACAACAGGATCATAAAATTCACGTATTTATTTATGCATGCAAAGGCAATGAAGACGCTTTACACACATGTGATGCATTGGTACTAATGGATGATGGCTCCATACATAAACTGACATTGCTAGCTTGTGTAAACTCTCCTCCACACTTATTGTCACCACTTTTGTGTAGTGAATGATTCAAAGTGTAAGGACAATGATGAAGGGAGTCTGTAGAGGGCTACGAATACAGCATTGTTATTGGGAAGTCTTAGACTATGCAGTCACAACTCCATTAAAGTGCAAACCCTCGGCGCACTATGTGTACGTGGTATAAATAATTGACGGGCCGCCTGAAATCCAATGATGGCAGAGGGCAAGTGGATGCGGACACGGTCCAGGATTAGACTACAACTGCCTCCTACCCCGGTGTGGTCACTGTGATCAACTCGCCAGTCAATAGGAGAGCCCCAGTGTGAGTGGTTTTGCATGCTGCTGGTGTAATCACACGCTTGGATACATGGTGAAATTTTCCCTCTCTGCCTCCCTCCACCCCTGCCCTTCCCTCAACACCGAGGACAATACCCTGCTTCAGGATTCTCCAATTGGGGTCCTTCCGCCTTTAAATTCCATCCTTGGTGTGCAGAGCCCGACCCTCCATCATGTCCCCAAGGGAGTAAGGGATGCATGGGCTACCCTCGTTGGTGAGGTGCTAGCATCATTGGTTGCCTCCCCCAGTGTAAGCTGTTTATGCCGCCCAGGTGTATTCTGTCCAGTCCGCGCAGAGGAGGCCGCTCCAACTGGAGGGATTTCCTAAAGCATGTTCGGGCCCGGATACAGAAGTGGAAAGATGGCAATGTATCCCAACTCTGGGCCAATGTGACAGCGGAGGACAGGAAACTCAAAGCCCGTTTGTCACGCCCCAAGTCATCTGACCCTCCAGCTGAATCCATCTGTCTGGGTAATGCAATTAGAGCCCGCTGAGGATGGGCAATACAAGAAGGCTCTACAGTCTCCAGCCTCAGCTGGCCTTGCTCTGCCATCCAATAGTATATGCCTCTTTTTTTAAATTCGCAGGATTTTTAATTTACTTGTATCTTGTGATTAGCACTACACCGGGACTCTTGTCTCCTTTCTTTGTATTCCAATGTTCTTACCACCCAAGTATGTCATTGTCACCAGTGCCGTAAGCATCAGTGCTGTTGTCAGTTTTTCTTTGATGCATACAGTCCTGCCTAGAAGCAGTCTTAATTCCTGATTATTATTCGGCTGGGAGATGCGCATGGTTCTGTTGCTTGCCTTGCCTTTGGTCTGTGGCCTCACTGTTGACACCTGACACAAATGTGAGACTAGACTTCCTTGCATTTGCTGGGCAAAAGTACATTGTTCTAGATAGTTTCTTACCCAACAATTTATGTGGTTTTTCTCTAAGGAAAGGTCGCTTCTCTTTAACAGCTGCCTTGAGTATCTCAGCTCTTTCTATGTATTGTTTTATCTACGTAACAGAGGGACAATTTTATAAGAATTTCATGTGCAATATCAATACTATATGCACACCTTTTCTTTCAGAGCTTCTACTGTGGAAGGGTCATCTTCATCTGTATACAAGACGAAGCATTAACATCACAAATGGAGTAAGCTGTCAAAAATAAACAAACAGTGCTTCATACGTACATTCCAGTGCTGGGAGAAAGTGTTCCAGTGCCTCACAGTAGAGAGTAACTGCTAAGCCCAGTTTACCCTCCGAGTCCTTAACAACTGCCTGCTTAATCAGTGAGCGCTGTTGGTTATAAAAAATTGCAGATTGTAATGTATGTGCATGCATGGCTATTTCCCGCGTACATCATTTCCGTTGCCATGAGTACTTAAGTGTGTTGAATGATCAGTTGTTGAATGGCCCGGATAATCAGTGGTTTGAGTCCTATCACACGAATGTGGTAGTCTTGCAGTACGCCTGCCTGCAAGATACTACATTTGGCGACGAGGTTGGGATACGTGTCGGACCCGCACGAGAGAGACGTTTGTGATGGCAACAGGAGACTCGCCGCCTTCAGCTGTGACACCGCACACTAGATCTTTGCCGCGCGTGTTGGGAAGCCTCAAGGAATTCAACCCCAAGACTGACAACATTGCGTCGTAGATCGAACGAATGCAACTCTATTTTGAAGCCAACAACGTGGTGGCTAATCGAAAGGTCGCTGTTCTCCTAAGTGTCATAGGAGCAAAGGCGTATGAGACGTTACACAGTCTATTAGTGCAAGTGCTACCTCAAGAAAAGTCATTTGAACAACTCCTAGAGGTACTAACCAAGCACTTCGACCCCCAGCTGTTCGTCATCAGCGAACGTTTCTGTTTCTACCAGAGATCGCAAAAGAAACGAGAATGGATCATGGACTTCATCTCTGCTCTACGCCGGCTCAGCATTCGATGCGAATTTGGAACCTTCCTCGACCAAGCGTAGAGAGATCATTTCGTTTCTGAAGTTAGGAGCGAGGCTATTGAGACGAAATTGCTCACAGAGCCCGAGCCGACGATAAAGAAAGCGTAGGACATAGCGCAGAGCATCGAGTCGGCCAACCACAATGCGAAGGATCGCAAGGGGGACGCTTCACTTCGAAGTGAGACCGTAAACACCTTATCATCGCCAGCTGTTCAGGATCGTGAGAAAGAAGGGACCCACTATCACTGCGGTCGCAATCACAATCCGAAGACCTGCAAGTTGAAAGGGGCAGTTTGTCACAGGTGTCACAAGCACAGTCACATTGCGCCCGCCTGAAGGTCCAGAAGCCCGCCTTTTGTTGACAAAAGGAAGGGAAGGTCCAACCGCAAGCCCGCCTCAAACAAGTGGATGACAGTGGCGGAGGAGTATGACGAACCCCAGCCCATGTTTGTTCATGAGGGAGAAACTCCTCAACCCCCCATACTAGTCAGAATGTGGTTCTCTGGTGGATTTAGAGTTGGACACTGGTTTAGGTTGCCTATATACCAGAACCAAGATTCACGAACACTCTCGTTCGTCATCTTCGAAGGCCTGGGCCAGCACTACTGGGACGCAACTGGCTCCAATACGATTGGATTGGAGTTCAATTATGACAGTGTTTCTTTAAGGTTGTGACAGTTACTGCAAGAGCATGTGGACTTGTTCACTGATGAGTTAGGCACCATCATGCCTTTCCGAGCGAAGCTGGAAGTATCCTCTTCAGCTACACCCAAGTTCAAACGCACACGGCCAGTTCCATACGCTGTCAAACCCCTCGTGGAACAGGAGGTGGATTGGCTAGAGAAAGCAGGAGTCATAGAACGGGTCGACCGTAGTGAGTGGGCTGCGCCCATTGTGACAGTACAGGGTGCGGGTATGTGGCGACTATAAGGTCACCGTAAACACAGTGCTCGACATTGATCAGTACCTACTTCCATGATCGGAAGACCATTTTGTAACCCTAGCTGGAGGGAAGTATTTCATGACCCTAGATCTTTCTCATGCCTACAATCAGATCGTGCTGAATGAAGAGTCTCGAATGTTCCTTACGATCAACACACATCGCTGTCTTTATCGATACACTAGGCTACCGTTTGGCATAGCATCTGCAATATTTCAGAAGACCATGGACATCTTACTGCAGGGAATGGAGGGTGTCTTTTGCTACTTAGACAATATTCTTGTGTCGGAGAAATCGGAGGCCGACTATCTCCACAACCTGGGGAAGGTCCAAGCACATGGCGTCAAGATCAAGATAAAGAAATGTGCATTCATGAAACCGAGTGTCTGGTACCTTGGTCATCTGATTGACCCAATAGGTCTCCCTGCCACGGGTGACAAGCTCCAGGCCATTGTACATGCCCCACAACCCAAGAATGTGACTGAGCTCAAATCATTCCTGGGTCTCATAACTATGGCCGTTTTATACCCAACCTCTCTACTCTCATTCATCCTCTCAACAAGCTCCTCAGCCATGACACTGACTGGAGGTGGTCCAAAGCATGTCAAGATGCTTTCACTGCTGCAAAGAAAACGATTACTTCATCCAAATTTCTTGTACATTATGATCCTAATGGTCCAATTCGTCTTGCCGCAGACGCATAATTATGGCATCAGCGCCGTAATTTCGCATACGATGGATGTTGCGTCAGAGCTCCCGATTGCGTTCGCTTCGAGAACCCCTCTGCCAAGTGAGAAAACCTACTCTCAGATTGAGAAGGAGGCACTATCTCTGATATTTGGAGTGTGCAAATTCCACACCTATCTCTATGGTCGCAGGTTAACACCTCTCTACTGACCACAAGCCTCTGACCACAATCCTCAGTTCTAAGAAGGGTGTTCCACCAAATGCCGCTGCTCAATTTCAAAGATGGGCAATGAAACTCACCGCCTACTCGTACGACATCGAATTTCGCGCAACTGCCCATCACGCCAATACTGATGGTCTCTCTTGACTCCCACTCCACCATGTTACGCCCGTAGGCTACTCCTCTGAATCAGCTGTTGTCAACCAGCAACAGATCCATACCCTCCCAGTCACGTCCACCAAGCTCGCACGGAGACAGAACACTCAGAAAGGTCTACCGTTTCATTATCAGAGGCTGGCCAAAAGCAGCAAATAGCTTGTTTGCTTTTGAAGAAATCAGAGCTGACGGTGGAGGGAGGGTGCATCCTGTGGGGGTATGAGAGTCGTAATTCCGGAAAAGTGGAGAGAGAGATTGTTGCTCGAACTTCATCGTGATCATCCTGGAATCTGCTAAATGAAAGGCAACGCTCGCAGCTACATGTGGTGGCCAGGGACGGATACCCAAATGGAGCAACTAGCAAAAAGCTGTGCAGAGTGTCAGGCAGTTTAAGAAGTCCCCGCCAGTTGCACCACTCCAACCATGGGAGTGGCCCTCCAGAATTTTCCAACGTCAGATCACCATTTTTATACCCATGACCTTGTTGCTCTGAAGCCGTTCGTGCAACTCATTGGCCGCGTAGTAGCCAGTAGTGCCAGAAAAGCAGCGGACAGACAGATAGACAGACTGACCAAGTACCGCAACCCTCGCAGCGCATACGCACCGAGGGTTAATGAGGGTTGCAGCATGTGCTATGGGCACGAACAAGTTATTACTGATTGCATTATTATTTACTTGAGGTTGATTGTGCTGTAAGAATCGACAGTGCATATCCACACAAAAATCACAAGGTTGCGTGCTATGGACCATACTCATGCATATTATGTTGGTATAATTGCCCAACAACTTACTGCTCTGGAAAGGGACTGTGCAGATGGCATGTGGTCGAGGTCAATGAATGAATGCCCAAAGAATCTGTCAAACGATATTCTTCTCTGAGGATCTCTTTCTAGTAACCCTTGCAGAAGATCAGCACAAGCTTGAGACACACCAGGAATATCTGGAATCTGAAATAGGGTTACAGTTATAAACTCTTGCTGTCATAATACGTATGAACATAATTATAATAAATAATACCGAGGTGGCTTGCTGTATACATATGAACATAAAATAAATAATACTCAGGTGGCTGCCATAGGACTAGGGCCATAGACCACGCACCCAGAGCAATGGGCGGAAACGTTAACAAACGAACATACACCATATGAACATGAGGTGTCTGTCTCACCTCCTAGACACCTCAACTCACCCCTTCCACCAGCGACACCCTGCAGCTCCCCAGACGTAATCTGAGACTGGGTCTGTTGTATGCTGGGATTATCGCCGTATAACCTAACCTTTCTTAGCTCCCAAACATCGAAAATAAAACCTTTAACAAGGCCAGGCAAAGAACCAAAATTATCCCCCCACAGCTCACTACCCAAAATAAATGATGCTTTCCTGAAACTATAGAGTGACTGGAAATGCTCAAACCCATCCCCAAGCTTCCCCTGCAGGGCAACTAACAGATTGCTCTTAAGACAACTATATGCTGGACACTCCCACAACAGATGACTCACACACTCTCATTATGTAGAAACATAAACACCTACAGTTTGTACTTTTGTCACAGGTCCTGCACACCACCACACACCAGTGTACTATATTTGACAATGTGCATTCTTTCTACATCAGTCACTTGTCTTATCCAGAAACTTTCTATATAGGCTAGGATCATTAGCAAGAAGCAAGCCTACTTCGTTGACTTCCGTATGTCCGACGATGGGACTGTTGGTCATACCACAATTAGTCCTTGGTGCACAAGCGCAGCGAAGGTACGGCATTTACTTTGCACAAGTCTGTCTGTCTATACGCACTTCTTAAATCTCACATCTCGTGCACAAACAAATATCGGGTATGACAAGTAAATCAATCTTTTCTATAACCGCAAACCGAGCATGTTATGTTAGCCTTGCCTGAGTTTACCATACTGTCTTTATGACTGACACGTGTCTACGCATATGCACATGAGTTGTCTGCATCTACGTGCTTGCGCATGAGGTCACATGCACGCAGCGAGCGGCGACGACGAAGCCCCTTGCCTGCTGAGTTGCCCTGACAAGGAGAAAATGCTAATAAGCTTCTTCGGTTCCAGGCATGTGTTATCACATTGATAAAGCTGAGAATTAATATGAGCCTTTGATTAAGGTTTGGCATCGGTGCATACACAGCAAATGAAGGTTCAAGTGTAGTGAACCAATGGGGTACCTCTCCTTTTCTATTACTCGGCCTGATCGGTAGGAGCCATTGTCTTTAGAATGGAACCATAGAATGCTTCGAATTATTCATTGAAAAGCCATCAGACCTGTTTGCAATAAGAAATTAGAATACCGACCTACTTTCGGGGGATTTTGTCCTACGTACCTGATAGAGGATCTAATATTGACGACAGTGTTGAAATACAAAGAGTTACAACTTTGCACAAGCCAGCTTTAACAAGGGGTTGTGATCAGCTGCCCCTGAAGATACGAAGCCACATGGTAGTGGATCCATGTAGAGAAAACTATTGGAGCTGTCGATCAACGGCGTTTTCCACATTGTCAACAACTGGTGCATTGCAGGGGGAGATATATATGATTTCAAAACAATAAGGGCACCACAATACTAGACTGAATTATTTTTTGTATGTTTTTGTGCATGTGACATATGAACAGGTATTGTGCTGTTTCACTCAACAGACAGCATTACAGCAATGTATTATACTTAGCAAATTAGGTTATGTGTCAACACAAACCCTTCGTCTTTCTTGTCTAATTCTTGTACATGGCATGCATTTGCCACATGGCACAGCAGACAGTTTAACACACTCCAGGTGGAACCATTCCTACTGTGTATGAGTTGCTGTCATAACAAACCGCTTCACCACCTTTACTCTCTTTGCAGTGGCACATGACCAATATCATCAGTCTACAAGTGCTCCTTTGGAGACTGCACAGTTTTGGTAAGATGCAGAGTTTGTAATATTACTGTGAAAACGGACGTGCTGACTTGATAAGAGCCTCAACTGCGTGATGCACTTGATATGTAACTCTTCTTCCATCAAAAAAAGGCGCAGAAGCTGCGTCCCATCACAGACAGTTGCAGCTGACACTAATAGCTAAATAATCCAAGGTTGCGCTTTAGCCTATACTAACCATCATGTTGCATGTCGAGGCAATCTACCATTGCGTCTTCATCGGATCGGACAACTGCAACTGTGCCATGACTGCCCGTTGTTTGCCAGCCTTTTTGCAAGTGTTACGAGCAGCAACCAGTAGTCAGTTCACACATGCGCAAAAAAGTCATCATTTGGACAGTCTAAATTGCTGCTCAACATGACAAATCCATACTTCAGATGGCAAATTGTTTGGATCTACGTATCTCACCCTGAACAACTAGGTAGCTGAGATAGCTGCTCTGTTTTGCATCTCAGAAAGGCATTACATTGCCTTATTTCGGCAGAAAGGTGAGGTTGAACTGCAACAGAGACAGTATGGACCAAAGAGGATGCTTGGAGATCTTGAGCAACTGACATTCCTATAATACTCGAAAATCATGCTATTTACGCACTTACATGAAATCTAAACAAAGCTGGAGAGTCCCTTTAGAGCTCATGTAAGCACAGCAACTATCTGCAGGACACTGCAACCAATGGGTTGCACCTTGCCACTATCAGCCTGCAAGTAGGGCAGGAGTGGCAACATGTACACTTCGTACTGTAAGTACCATTAATGGCTATCCTACAAAATATTCATGTGACCGAAATTAGTCTCCAGGTTCTAAGGCACTCTGCAAAAAAATATATGTGCTGAGAATCTCCTACAGGAAGGTGAACGTGTATTTGGGACATTTGGGAGCATATTCATAACTGGTACCAACCTCAACTGACTTGCAAAGCAAATCCCTTGTCTGAGAAAGAGTATTTGGTGCTGTTTGTGAGACATCAAATTCACTAATCAAAAGAACACCGCAGGTCTCCACTACACAATCAGCTCCCTCTACTGATGATGTACAAATGAAAAGCACTGAAGTGCAAACCCTCAGCGAACTGTGCATGTCCTGGGTGTAGTTAACTTGTTTGCCTTGCCTTGGCTTTCTACCTCGTTACAAACTTGTTGAGACATGCGTGATAGCACTAATTGATGCGCTAGGCTATTAGTACGCATTTATGCGTGGTCTCCCGCTAGTAGAGTCGATGCACGCCATTCGTTGTGACTTCTTGTGCCTACAAGGTACACAGAGCAAGCCTGTGCTAATTTGCACATTGGGATTTTCACTGCTTTTCACGCCATAGTTTTACGAAAATCGCCTTTTTTAAAATGACGCCAGCGTAGTGATGAACCCGTCGGTATTTGTCACGTTGCGCGTAGTCGTAGAAAACGTGGTAAGAGACAAATGGACAGACAGACAGACACACACAAACCAAGTACTGTAACCGTCGCTGTGCATGCACACCGAGGGTTAATCACATCCAGTTTCCTGAACAAGCATGACTGCTGGCTGCATTAGGTGACAGTACAATCTGCTGCAATTTAGCTTTGTTGTTTTATTCATAACGCCCTACTATGGTCTGCTAGATGTCCAACCAGGGTGTTTTTGTAAGTGTTAAACTTTCCGTTCTGTGTACAGTGAAAAATCAATAAAAAGGTATGTGATGATGGTCTAAATAAAATACGAGCTGTAAACTTCACCTTTCCTCTTCAAGAGAAATGTGTATGTAGTACAGTGTTAGTCCAAATGCTACTTACTGATGCAGCTATCCTGTGTTGGAGTGCTCCATCTGTTGATGGGTTAGCATGGCCTGACCCATCACGGTTCTATGCGCATGTTTTGTTTTGCAAATCAATGTGCTCTGAGAGCATGCTTCTTCTTGAACTTTATTGCTTTGTCATCAACAACGGTGGGATCCAATTATTACAGAAAGCATGACCAGGTTTTGTTGTAGTGTCTGATATTTTCCTGTAAGATAATATGTGCTAACACATAGTGTACTCAGCAAACTGAGAGCAGGATTAACGGTGCTTTGTATGTTCATGTGTAATGTGCACATGAATGCACTATGCGAGTTAGTGGTTTTAGTAATTTTTCTGAATTCCCAGTCACTTAGTAGTGTTAAACTGAGGTTCCCACACTAGATTGATGTTGGACTCTTATGTGTTTTGTGCGTAAAATTTACTATACAACATGTGCATTTGCGTGAGCAGTTAGTTACACATCTAACGGATAATATCAGTACTCTGAAAACGTACCTCCACCGGCTTTGTGTCCAATACTTTTATTTCTAGTTCTTCAAGTGTCTCAGAAGCAAAGGGGGGTGCACCAAAAAGTGATTCTGTAAAATACAGTATCAGTTAAAAATGCTTGTCACAAAAGTGCAGAGATATTTTGTGGCATCCAAATAGAATGTAAACTTCATTAACATCTGCTTCACTGAAATTTGAAAATATGAAATGAAGGGCTGACACATTGTAAAAAAGAAAGTGAACAAAAACATGCCTACCCTGACACAAAATCACCCCTACATCTTTGTTTTATTTCCAATAGTTGTGTAGGAGCTAAAGCGAGGGTTTCAGTGCTTGGTCTGTCTGTCTCTACGCATGGACGCTTATTTTAGCACTACAGACTACAAGGCAGCCTATGAATATAAAGCCTTAATAGCTTGAAAAAATGCCTGAAACGACTACGTTCAAGAGACATTGCGTTGAAAAAGCCAATATGCACGATCAGCACTGGCTTACCTAAACCATATTCAGTGCTGAAGGAGGAAGTTACTTGAGGGACACGTATCTAAAACTTGACCTGAGCCCTCGACAAAATTGTCTTCATTTAAAAAATGCTAACACCATTGGAATCCTCGCAACTTTCCTGTTCTGATGGTATACTTTACTGACCATTAACAGTCAAAAGTAGGCTGTACGTCCGATAAGAGCAGTATGTGGTGCCAGTATAAACAGTTTACCCAACCACAAAATATTCTTCTTTGTCGAACATCAATATCAGGTGAACGCGAATAGACTTTAGTCCAGCATTGATTTAAAAGCTACTTACGTATTAGAGTGAGAAACTGGTTATGTCGATGGGGTGCATGGTGTGGTGTTGCCCAGCCAATCAATTAACGTTTATTTGAAGTGCATGCACACATTGCACACATCAACACTACTCGCGAAGTTTCCTTGAACCGAGGGTTTGCACTTCAGTGTTTTTTTCTTGACAGTGGTGGTTGAGTAGCCACACACAGTATTCA